GGGATAAGATGGGATAAAGTGTGGTACTAAATTTATACTATGTTTGGTTGGTAGTATAATGGTTGTTGGTATAAATTTATCCCGGGATAAATTTATACCAACAACCAAACATGGTATAAACTTTGTCCCAAACTTAATCCTGAATATCTCATCTTATCCCACCTTATCCCATCAAACCTGGTATTATTTTATCCCACCTCTCACCTGGGATAAATTAATCTAAGGATTATAATCTCAGAATTATAATACCAGGATAATTTAGTCCACCTATCAAATGACCCCTTACTTCCATAGAAAGAAATTTTCAAATGTAAAGTTAAATTTTCAAATGTAAAGTTATGTACTAGGACAGAGAAAGAAAGCCAATTACAAAACGAAGGAAGAGCAGATTAATGAAAACATAAGAATTGAAACCAATACATTTGCAATAGCATTTTTTATTCTGTTGAAAATAATTATTGTTGTATTTCTTATTGGTTAAGAAAATAAAACAATTGCATTTTGGTCGTGAGAAAAAAAGACGGTCTTTGATAAGTTTTGAATGAGATAATTAAGGACTTATAAGTGGAGTTTCTTACTTTATTGAGTTAGCTAAATAGAATCAACAATCATTATTTTTAGAAACTTATACTTTTGTTAATATTAATTTTAAACTCAAACAAAAAATTTAATATAATATTTATTTAACTTTTCAAAGTTATATATTTATTGAGATAAAATATTTTTAAAAAGAAGCTGATGAAAAATGGGTCAAAGTAATCATAGAAGTATGAAAAGTAAGAGCAAATACCAGAATATAAAGGGCACCATAACATATACCAGAACGCGATGATGACTAGTGCAAATTCAAGACAAAATTATGACTCAATTCTATTGAGACAAAACGATTCCCTCAATACAGCTTAACTTCGTCAAGCCTGTACGAGTAGTGAAGAAGTATAGAGCACTTTGGTTGTCTTTGTTCGTGATCATGTTGGGCGAAAGATAGTTGTAAAGGAGCGAAATACCTCGACTTTTTTAGAACAGGTCCGAGTCAAATAGCAATGATTCGAAGCACTTCTTTTTACACTATTTCGGAAACCCAAGGACTCAATCGTATGGATATGTAAAATACAGGATTTCCAATCCTAGCAGGAAAGGGAGGGAAACGGATACTCAATTTAAAGTGAGTAAACAGAATTCCATACTCGATCTCATAGATACATATAGAATTCTGCGGAAAGCCGTATTCGATGAAAGTCGTATGTACGGCTTGGAGGGAGATCTTTCATATCTTTCGAGATCCACCCTACAATATGGGGTAAAAAAGCCAAAATAAGTGATTTTAGCCCTTATAAAAAGAAAACTGATTCTTGAACCCCTTTCACGCTCATGTCACGTCGAGGTACTGCACGGCTGTGAAACGGCGATTCCCCACTCCGGCCAAGTTGGGTCTATATGAATCCTCACTCTTCGATTCGTGCTGCTCCATTTAGCTGAGGCTACGATCCAATATCTTCCTTTTTTGGATCTGGTATCCTTTGATTTCGGAGGTTGTAGAATAAATTTTTCACAATTCTTATTGTTATACTCTGAACTCTATTTTCCTTATGTTGGTTTTACTGGAAAAAATTCACTTTCATCGGCCGTCAAAGCATTTACAATCTCAGGTTACCAATAGAGGAGCACATGTTCATCTAATCATCTTGTTACCTATGCGATTTATAGGTAGGGCTGTATTCTGGGTCGGGCCCGGGCCTTCGTGGGCCAAACGGGCCGGCCTTTGTGGGCCTGGACTCTGGCGGTCCCGGGCTTCGTGGGCCCAATGGGTGGAACCGGCCCGTGACGGGCCTAAGCCCATATGGTCCTGGGCTAAACGGGCAGGGCTCGTGGGCTTCGCGGGCCTAGCGGGGTTTTTTTTTTTAAAGGCAATTTCTTGTAGTATCATGGCACTATTAAAAATATATATGTAGTATATATGTAGATCTAATTATTAAAGTGCTTGACGAAAAAGAAAAATAACAAAACAAGTGCATAATATATTGTCTTGTAGTATATATATTGTATCTTATGTATATATATTATAACTTATTACTTATATATTTTCTTGTATATATATTCTCTTATATATTTTTTTGTAGTATATTTTCTAAGTAAAGACAAAGAAATATTGCGAAAAGATATTCAAGGGTACGTCTTACAATTTTTATTACCAAAAATGGCATATCTTTCTTAGTCTTCCTTCCCCTAATGGAATGAGCACAACAAGGTACTAATACCACCATTAGAAGGAAAAAAAATTAAAAAAAAAAACTAAGGAAGATGTGCCAAAATACAAGTTACATATTAGTCTATGTATTATCTCTAACAAATCTCATAAATCCTTCAAGGTTCGGAGGAGGTTGCGTTGGTGGTGGTGGAAAAGAAGCTTGTTCATCACCACTTCCGGGCGAAGCCGAATCCTCCGCAAGTTCCGCTATCATTTCTTCATAAGCTTCATCTATCGCCGGTTGTGATTCTGCAATTCCAAAGTTTCTTCTTTCCGAGCGGATCCAATCTCTAAACAGTACTCATTTTTCCAAGCTATCCCTCATAGAANTTTGAAAGATTTAAAGCCTTATAAATATTTGAATACCAAAAATGAGGACCTCCCAATTTCATTGAAGGATTTAACATTGCAGCAAGACCATAAATAGGAGGGATAGGAAAAAAATATTTTTTAAACTTTTGTTTCATTTCATTTATAGCAAGTTCATAAATATCCCCACCCTCACTAAATTCAACAAACAAATCAGATAGTGCTGCAATATAAACTAAACAGTTTGAAATAGTAGGATAATATTGCCCAGAAAATGCATTTGTAGCAATTTGAAAATGTTCTAAAAAATCTAAAAGAATTTTAACATTCGTCCAATCTTGAGTAGTAAGCATTTCATCATCACCCTCACCACCTACCCGAGAATTAAACGTTGCATTAATTAGGTTTCTATATTCATATGCAATTACTAAACTTTCGTACATACAATTCCATCTAGTCGGGCAAGGTTTAGGAACCTTTCTTTCTCTAAGGCCATATTCATCACATTTTTTAAAATACTCTCTAAGTCTACTTCTACGGTTTGAATAAAAAAGCCAATTAAGAGCCATTCTAACCTTTTCAATTTCTATGTTTAATATTCGCATACCATCACCGACAATTAAATGATAAATATGACAAATACATCTAACATGGAAAATATTAGTAAATGCAGGATTTAGTGTTGTTGTAAGCATGCCTATAGCACTGGTGTTACTAGAAGCATTATCCATTGAAATTGCCATTATTTTATCGCTAAAGCAAAAATATCTACAAATATCTGCAACAGTGTTAGCTATAAACTTACATGTGTGACGCGCGCAATTATGCGTTTTTGCATTGTCCATTCCTCATCTATCCAATGACTTGTAACATTTAGATAATCACAATCATTACCACTTCTACCAATATCAGTAGTAATAGAAATCTGATTAGGTATATGAGTAAATAAATACCGCAAATATTGTTCATATTCATGTTTGAATTTATAAATATCACTCTTAACTGTTGCGCGAGGCCAACCTTTATAAGTAGGATTAAAAACTCTTCTAATATAATGAACCCAATTAGGATTAGAAGCAAAAGTATAAGGTAAGCACATAACAGTAATCATCTTTGCTAATTCTTCACGATCTCTATTTGGATCGCAATATAAAATACCTCTGGTGACAGTGTTAATTCCTGGTTGAACTAGATTTGAACCTGTACTATGGTTAACCGCAGAATCTACATTTGTCCCCTCTAGATGCGCTTTCATTTGAAAAAATCTAGCCTTATCTCTAGGGTGTGTTTTTATGTGCCTAGTCAAACTACCTGTGCCGCTACGGTCTCCTACATATTTATGCGACATTAATTTCCCACAAGTTTTACACTTAGCCTTATTTTTTTCTCTTACTTGAGTAAAAAAATTCCAAACTAATGATGTTTCTAAGCGTTTAGCAGGTTCTCTATTAAAAGTAGGAGTTTCTACAGGTGGGTCGACCGGTGCATCACTTGGGTTATTAAGAGGACTAGTAGGTGTATCATCTAAATCCGGTGCTTGAGTTTCATCATCATCCTCATTTTCCTCATTATTTTCTAAGATGGTTTCATTAGGATAAAGAGCATTCATAATTTCATCATCTAATCTATCACCTGGTGCAACATTATGATAAAATTCACTATCGGTAAATTGAAAACAAGGGTGATCACTATCAAGAATTACGGAAGGAGGAGGACGTCTAGGTTGGCGACTACTTTCAACTTGCTTATCTTTTCTAGGTCGGGGAGCCGGGGGAAGGGTAGTTGGTTGGCCACTACTTTCACCGGTTTTATCTTTTCCTTTACCAAACATTTTTTTCAAAGTAAATGCCATATTAATTATAATTATGCAAACTAAACCACACAAAAATATATTCTAAAAACGTAAGAGTTGAAACGAGTTTACCGGATTGCCGAACAACTTCTTGAAAATTGAAAATCGTTGAACACTTGAAAACTTCAATTCAACAACTTCACAATTTTTCACGAAATTTCAACAATAAATTAAGTAATTGTAGTAGAGAGATTGAGAGAGATTGAGAAATATTGATGAATTGGTGAGTAAAAATGAAAGAATGAGGGGGTATTTATAGTTGAGAAATGGAAAAAAGTGTAATTATATAAAGTTTGGGGTTAAAATAAAATTTGGGGGCCAAATGGCCATTTTCTAAACTTAAAAATCGGTCATATTTTCAGCCCAAACGGCTAGATTNTGGGCTAATCTATGAAGACCGGCCCGTCACGGGCTTCTCAGGACCACCAGGACCGGCCCACCAGGACCGGCCCGTTAGGCCTGTTAGGACCGCAGGCCCGGTCCGGTCCGGTTCAGGCCCGGCCCACCAAGCAGCATTATTTATAGGTCCATATAGTGAAAGAATTAGTGAAATAGAGATAATAAGTCTTTATTTTGAGCAGTTAGTGATTCTTCTACTAGAATGTACAAATAACTTGATGCTTGAAATTTTATTACAGCGTCATAGTGTACTTTGTAAATCAATTCAATCAAGGGTATATTTGACCTTAACTCTCCTCCATAAACATTCAATAAGGGAACAGCTCACTTTGATATAATCTTTACACTATTTTTTCCTAAGGAGGCTATGGACTATATATGCTTCTTAGTTCTAACAACACCCCTTCACTTTCAAGCTAAATGAAGAACATTAACCAAAACTTTAAAACAAGAAAAGATTGTGAAAGAGAGAAAAACAAGTTGCACTGCCTTATGTATTCACTTGGACTAGTGAATTTATATAAGTTGTTATGTGTAGTAACCTGTCAAATCGTGTTTGATAATATGGCCGTGTTCTTCCTAGCTGGCAACCCTGTAAACGAGAGAATTACGTCTGTCATCCTTTGAATTATGTCTTCAAATGATGGACGGAGTGCTGGATTGCTGTTTGTAATAGAGAAACCAAGGTTTAGCCCGAGTTTTGTATTTGCATACTTCGATGAAAAAACATAAACGATCAAACGAAAAAAATGAGAGAGAAAAAGCACCTTTGCCAACAATCGCGGATGATTGGAGAAACTCGAGTATCAAGATTTTCTGGAATTTCCAATCTACGATTCATAAATCCAACAACTCCTACAACCTTTAAACACAAAACTTACATTGGTTCCAATAGTAACCACTAAGAAGAGAACACAAAGGTTTAGTTAGACAACTTGCTATCAGCACTTGCGCGCTCACGCTTGCAAATACCAAAGAGGTAAAAATGAGAGACACCTGTAAAGAGTTAAGGTTGCTCCATGGTATAGATTCAGTCATTAATTCCCATAGGATCACACCAAAACTGAAGATATCAGATCTGCGCGATAACAGAAGAAATCAATCAGAGAGCCATTGCAATTGAAATTCAGAAAAAGATGAGAAGCTCGTCCAAGTATATGATCCAGTTTTCAAAAAAACTATTACTGGTAATTGATAGTAGAATGTGCAGCAACCAGAGGCGGAACCCAGGATTTAAAGGTCGAGAATGCACTTTTGGATTCAACCAAAATCTGCTTTGTATATAGGATGTCCGCTACTAATATATCACTATTTTCTAAAGACATATACATGTATACATGGAGTTTTTGCCGAACTTTACGGGTGCCGGTGACCCCTATCGATATAGCATACGTCTGCCTCTGACAGCAATTTAAACATATTCACACAAAAGAAAAAATCTTGCATTGTAAGCAACATCTGGTACCAGGAAACACTATACTCGCAAGGATAAAACGGTTCCTACAGACACATGCGGACCAACATTGTCCGGTGAGGGGGTACCGGACCCCATAGACTTCAACAAGAACTTGGTATATACATGAAAATATTTACAGGAAATAGTAATATAGAAACAGCGGTACCTGTTTACACAAAGTGTTCCTTAGTGCACTGGTTGGGAGGAGATTTTGCAAGCCGTTTTGTGTGTTGTAACCAAGGTTTGAATCTCCCTCACGCCAATTACTTAAATTCTCACGCTAGTCTCTTCCTTCCCCCTTCAGCCTTTTCATTTTTCCTTTCTTTACGTATGAACTGTATATTCTTAAGCTGGTAATACTAAACTGAAATTTATCCTGAACCAATCAAATATACCCCCTATTATCGATCTATAGGACCAACGACAGATTTACATTAAATGTAATGGTGTAACCCATGTCTTTAAATCCTCGGTCCGCCTCTGCCTACGGTTATATCTTTTTGTCATCCAACATTAAACACGTTCTTTGGAAAAAAGGCACAAAGAGAAAAAGGCTCAAGCTCAACAAGCAATTGACCATCAGCTCAATAAGCTAGTCACCGACGCAAACTAACGGATGCAAGAATATATAATCTTCTGATGAAGCATGCGCAAGCAATGCTTGGGAACTTACTTCTCTGTTGAAGGTTCATTTCGAAGTACTTCAGGAGCCATCCACTGCGGCTGCAGTGATCCGGAAAAGGAAAACAGACAGGTAAAGGGATAAGAATTATCTGATGTGACTATACAAATAGGGCAAAAGAAAAGATCTTTTACCGTCCCTCGCCCAGATTTTGATGTTAGAAAGGTTGCATCTTTAAATCTTGAAAGGCCAAAATCTCCAACCTGAGGAAAAAAAATATCAGTGGAGTTGTCTAGTTAAAGGGATTCACTCATAATAAATTGAAGCATCCATTCAGCAATCAGTACCTTGACAGTCCAACTTTTATCGACAAGCAGATTTGAAGATTTCAGGTCTCTATGTACAATAGGTGGGTTTCGGCGATGCAAATAATTCATACCTCTTGCCTAGATTCAATTGAACAAAATCAAGTGTCACACTGAAAACATATTAGAGAAGGAAATTGATGAGTTCAAGCAAGAACCACACCACATCGAGGGCCATCCTAAGACGCCGACTGAAGTCTAATGGCTTATTATTTCGGTGAAGCGTTTTGAAAAGACTTCCCCTGAAACACGTAATGAGAAGTGTCGTCAATCATTTGCCAATTGCCAGTCCAGTTTTATATACATATTCTCACGAAATTCTCCCCGTGGGAGTAACTCAGTTCATTACCTGGGCAAAAACTCAGTGACGATAGCAGGTTTTTCTTGAGAAAATATGGCCCCCATGAATAGCAACACGTTAGGATGTCTGAGTCTTTTCATTATTTCAATCTGAAAAACATGGTGAAAGTAGATAAAAAATTTATGTCCTATGAAGGCGGTGTCCATTTAGCTGTTGGTATTGTTGAAGTTTGGCAAAATGCCAAAGTCCCACATTGGTTGGGAGTTAAGTTTGGAGGGG